ATAGAAATTCAGATTATGAATATTTTGAGTATTTATTTGAGATTTCTCACTGTGTGATTTTGAAAATACAACGATTTTTTTCTATTCAAAAATTTAAAAAATTTATTTTGACGTCTAAAAATAGTAGTGTAGTACAATAAAAGTCTTAAAACATAGTTTACAATTCCTGGTATTTTGATAATTTTTTGAAAATGTGCATTTTTGCCTAATAGGATTTTTGTTGTCTACCATTATGATATTTTAACATTTCTGAATCAAGCTCAATTATGCTATATTTACTGTCATGTATCAAAAATGAATGTGGATATGTGCTTGAGTAATAGTTGGTCACTATTACTGTTATAATATTGTGATAATAATGTATCTGTAAAAGCCAAGTAAAGATTAATTTACCCGTTAGTTGGAGACTGATAGAAATGTACATGATGATAGAACGACGAACTTTACTTTAAATAAAGTAATTTGGTGTCATCATCTACTAATTTACGTAATACACTGGTTGGGAGTTATAAGGAGATTATTACTGTCACGCCCCAAGATCTAACTTGGAAAGAATTATTCAATCTATCTATTTTGAAATCTTACCAGAGTTATCTATAATCTTCAATCAGTAACAAACAGTCCAACAAAATTCTATAATTTAAAATATCAATGTACAATTCTATTCATATCTCAAAAGATCATATACAATACTCAGGATCTGCACAAGGATCAGATGAAATGAAATCTATCATGTCCTGAGTACAAAAGAATCACTATAACCAAAAAGAACAAAACCTGAGGATTCCTGATCAACCTCAATCTCCTGCTCCCTTGCCCTGACCTGAAAATATTAACCACATATAATGAGCTTCAAAAAGCCCAGCAGGTCACCTAATACCTATAACTGAAATCAAAGCACAGTACGGCAGCAATATGCATGTCAATCAGTCAAATCACAAATCATAACAGTCAGTTCCACATGATCATTAATTCAATGCAGATACGAAAATCAATGCATGAACAGTAATCAGTATAGTAACAATAGTCAATGCGTAAACAGTATCAATAAGAAATAGTAAACTCCTAAATCCACAGTAGAAGAATCAATAAACAGTTCAAAGATCCGTAAAGCTCAATAAATCAATGCTTACGTCAATCTCTATAGAAATCAGTCAATCAGGCAATAAATCATAATAACATTTAAACAATTAGAATCAATCAATGCCGTAAAACCGTATCAAAATGTACATTTGCAATTCAGTTACCCAACATCACGTGCTCAGTGCATCACATGCAATCCAATAATCTATGTCACTTGTGCAGTGAATCACATGTCACTTACTCAGTATATCACGTGCATAACGTCAGTACAGTGAATCAATAGTATCAATTTCAATATCAGTAACAGTCCAGTGACATGAAAATAATGCTATAACAGTAAAATCATGCATTAACAGTAAATCCGTACAGTAGCAATAAATCCATCAATAAATCATAATTAGATCATAAGAACAGTACTGTACACATGCAATTCAATACAATAGTCTTACTGAACAAGTACAATCACTGGCTATTAAGGCGTTTTTCAGTCTTATATATTGTATTTTGTATCTTGTATCCGTTGGCTCAGTAAAAAGAGTCGTCACTCTTTGCCCGTCGGCACAGTATTCATCTCCTTATGACTCCCTTCAGTAATCACGTGATCAGTAGAGGATAACACCAAACTCTTTATTTAAAGGAAAGCCCGTCGGCCCACCATCCTGTACAGGTATCATGTCTCCAACCCACGGTTCAACCAATCTTTACTTGTCTTTCAGTAACAATAACAATAATTCAATCATATATTTACATTCGTATGCATATTCAATCATTTAAATCATCAATTCAAAAAATCAGAGGTCGTACGAGAAATCGGCGGCACAACGGCAGTATACAGAATTTACACAGAAATCATAGATTCGGAACTTTACCAAATTACCACAGAACATGTAAAACAACAATATAAGACTTTCATTGTATTGACAAAACATTTTTCAACATCCTGATAAATTGCAGTTCAATTAAAACATCGCAGAATTCAAAATATCCGGTAAAAATCTTCCAGAAAATACTCAAACGTGCACAATTATCATCTCAGAAACATATCAAAAGTTGTGCGGTAAAACTTTCGTCAATACAAAATTATACGTGTTTTTCGGTAACGGAAACATAAATCTGAGCACAGAAATATCAAAACTCTAAATCTTCGAAAACAGAAATAGGATTCGGAGTCCTTACTGCAAGACGAACAAATCTTCCAACTGCATCGTCGGACGAAAAGCGCTCCGCGGGCTCCAAAACCAAGCTTCTTCTTCTCTTTCCTTCCTTTTCTCTCTTCTGCCTTTTCTCTCTTCAAAATATCTCCAAAATATCTCTATCGGATATTTATTAACATTGATCGTCCCGGACGATCCAAAATTCGTCCCGGGACGATTTGCCCTCTGGGAAAATATCGTCCAGACGAAATTAAATAGCGTCCAGACGACTTGCTCTCTGAACAAATTTCGTCCAGACGGATCGTCCCGACCCTTCCAGGTTCGTCCAGACGAAATTGACAGATTATTCACAATTTCTTCAGTTCGTCCCGTACTAAAGCCAGTTCGTACGGACTAACTGTACTAAAAAAAATCAGCTTTGGAGGGGTTTTACAATCTACCCACCTTAAGAAAAATATCGTCCTCGACATTTCCCCTAAGGGATCGAATGCAAAATCGATATAAAACAAATCCGTCCAATCAAAACTCAAAATCGAATCAAAATCAAAACTCATCGAAAACCATACAGTCATTCAGTGCATTCAATCACATATCATTTACTATGCATGAAATGTCATGTCAATTAGTAAGTCAAATAAATTTCTTACCAGTAGAACTTTCAAGTTGTCGTTGATCTTCATAATGCTGTAAATTGTATACAAGTGGCATCACTGGAGTAGGTGCAGTAGGTCGTGGTGCAATGGTCTCCCTCTGATTATCACTGACAGCTCTATCATTTGTCCTGTTTGTTTATCTTTCACTATATGCTCTTGAGCCAACAGTCCTCTGTCCTACAGTACGTCCTATGCCAGAATCAGTTCTTCCTCCTCCAAATCCTTTCTGGGGACAATCTGCTACTCTATGTACTCGCTGTCCACAACGAAAACATTGTCCTGTCAACAAATAGCACTCACCTGCATGTCGTCGACCATAGTGAATGCACTCGTTGTAGCTGCCAGAAGATGCTACTGATGCAGATCCCCTTGACTCACTATACTTGCTTTTCTTGTCTCTATCTCTTTCTCTACTCGATTCATCTCTACTCCTCTTGGTAACTTCATATCTTGATTCTAGTGCTGCCAAATCATTCTCTATCAGTCTGGCCCGCTTTACCAACTTAGAAAACTCATGAATCCGTAACGGTACTAGCGGATGTCTCAGTTCTCTATTCAATCCTTGCAGAAATCTATAACATTATTTCTCAGCAGTAGGGATCAAATAAGAAGCGTACCTAGCAAGTGCAGTAAACTCAGCCTCGTACTGCATCACTGTCTTGCGTCCTTGCTCCAACTTAATAAAAGCTTCTTGCATTTGTCGTTGGGCTGACGGAGGTACAAACCACATTCGGAACACTGTAGTGAACTCATCCCAAGTGATCTCAGCATTTGTCTTCCCCTGAAATTTCTCCCTCTGCTGTCCAATCCACCATCTCTCTGCTTCTCCTTCAAATAGAAACACAGCCAAATGTACATTTTGATTCTCCGGACACTGCATGCTATCAAAGATCTTTTCTATTCTCATTATCCAATCTTCTGCAATCTGAGGTTCTACAGCTCCTTTGAACAACGGAGGCTTCAACTTATGAAACATTTGTAAATGTTTATCTACTTCTTCTTCTTTACTTCCACTCAACTTACTCTGTGCATCTCCCATTACATGTGCTATAGAAGTAACCAACTGCATCATACTTTCTGAAGGTACTGGAGCTGCACTGTGTTGCTCATTGGGTACACTTGATTCTGGATTATCCATTTAACTTTTCACCTTCACAGTTTAGAATAAATGATACATACATGCAACTATGTATGCAACATGATGCACTTGAACTACCCATTCTACCCAACTCTCAATCAAATCCTATAACTCTAGTAACAATCAATTCTTCCAATAACCTGGCTCTGATACCACTAAATTTGTCACGCCCCAAGATCTAACTTGAAAAGAATTATTCAATCTATCCATTTTGAAATCTTACCAAAGTTATCTATAGTCTTCAATCAGTAACAAACAGTCCAACAAAATTCTATAATTTAAAACATCAATGTACAATTCTATTCATATCTCAAAAGATCATATACAATACTCAGGATCTGCACAAGGATCACATGAAATGAAATCTATCCTGTCATGAGTACAAAAGAATCACTATAAC